GAGAAGTCGAATGAGTTCTCGCTCACTAGGATGTCCCAGGTTAAGATGGATGCGTGCAAGTGCTGCTTTGGTGTCGCGAGTGATGTCGTTGGGGCAACCTGGGAACGTGATCATGGTGCCATAGAGTGGCTCTTGTGGTTGTGGAGGCGATTGCTGCTCAGGTTGTTGTTCTTGAGGTGGTTGTGGCTGTTGCTCTGGTGGTTCGGGTGGTAATGCTTGAGGATCAGCGTGTCCATACCAGAACACTCCATATGCGACGGCCTTCCGAAAGCGCTGCTTCGGAAAGTGAAGTCCGTCGAGTGCCTCGTGTTCCACTTCGATGCCCCCGTCCTGATACTGCAAAACTGCTCCACGGTGGGTGTAGCTGATGTCTCTGGGAAGTCGACGTTGGACAGGGCATCGGCTGATCTGCACTCGAACAATGTCCCATGGGACGAGCTGGTTGACGATATGGTGGATCTTGTCGTCATCTGGGACGTTGTAGCCACGAGTTGAATCTGACACTAATGCTCGTTGCGCCAGACGTAGAACTTCTGCCCATGCTGCAGGGTCCTCCACAGGCTCTGCAACGTAGACTTCGTTGACCTTCAAGAAGCGTTGAGGGAACCTTCTCTGGGCTTCCACCCGGACTCCCTGAAGGATGCTCTTGACTAGGGCGTCGGGGTACTTGGCGCTCTGGCGAAGTTCCTTGCCCAGAAGCGGCTTGCAGTAGTAGAGCATCTCGCTTCCAAGTTTGGCTGAGACTGAATCTGCGAGCTCCTTAGAGTTGGTGACCCACTGAAAGGTTTTCTTCATGAGCTCGCCGGTGCTCGTAGTCCCGCCATACGCTCCAGCATGTCCACGAACCACGTAGACTTCTGGGTGCACCATGAGCTCGTGCACCTCGGGTAGCTCCCATAGTCGGCTTGGTGCCGGGTTTTCCAAAAGGAAGAAGTTGCCGTCGGTGAGCTGCTGCCAACATGCGTCCGTGGTGAAGGTGACGAGTGGTCTCTCGGCTGCTCGCAATTCTCGCAGCTCATCCATCCTACCTCTGCCAAGGTAGTTCATATTCTCGTTCATGATAATCCACTTGGTGCACTCGATGCCGGCGATGATGACCAGGGGCTTAAACCTTCTTTGGGCATCGGCCCAAGTCTGCTGGTGCTCCTCAAGGCTGAGGTCCAGTCCATACTCGAAGTCGAAAGGCTGCAATGACTTCAAGCCGAAGGAAGGTGCCCTGTGCGTGATTTCCGCTGCGCCGGCGAACATCTCCATCACGTCGATCTTGGACTTGTTGTCCATGCTGCTCGGAAGGTTGCCGTAGACGTTCTGCTCCACGGTGAGGACCTGTGCCGCTTGCTTAAGATTCCCAGCTAACCGTCGGCGTTCTCCCAATCGAACTCCACTAGGTCGAACTCGTCCAAGTCGCCCAGTTCCGTCTCGGTCTCCACCGGTTGCTCCAGCGCTCGTCGCCTTGTCTCCTCGAGCAACGCCCATGGTGACGCCGATGTCTTTGGCTTCGGCTTTGCCTTGGAGGAGGTCGAAGCTGGTCGCCGCTGCGTTGGCAAAGGCATTTGGCGTTGGTCCTGGAGAGGAAGTGGTGGTATGTCGTCCTGCAGGTGGCTCCTCCAAGACGAATCCAAGACATTTGTTGAGGAAGGCAGTGGCAATGGTGATGAGCGCGAGGCCGGAGTAAAGGCCTCCCATCCTCCGTGGGTGCTGTTCCACCGCCACTTGCGAAGGCACTCCTGGCACTGGGCATACTTGCCGTGCCGGTTGCCTGATCTCCGGAAGTACCTGTGAGTGCACTGGTTGTTGGGCTCGGTCAGCGCGTAGGCGCTGGTCTCGGTCGAACTTGCCGTCGGAGCACTCGGCCTGTTGCCGTAGGTCTCGTCTTCGGGTACGCTCCCGCCGGTATGGTACTGCTGGAGGTTGCCGTCGAAGGAGACGGCGTGATAGGTGTCCGCAGAAACCTCTGCGCTCGTCGGCTCCAAATGATCGTGGTCCTCACGATGTGTCTCCACTTCTGCAACCATGGCGGCGGAAGTGGTCGATTTGGGTCCTGTTGCATGGGTCGGACCTGGAATCTGTGCTTGGGCACACGTGAGCTCTGGCACATAAACTTCATCTCCGAGCTCACCATGACCAAACCGTCGGGGCAAGTCATGGTGATGATTCCGCCACCATGCCAATTTGGGGTCCCGCCACGTGAACTCAAGTATGTTGATGGCAATGTGGCCGTTGACCATGTGGAGGGTTGCCGTGGCGTTGAGGGCGCCGAAGTAAACCTCGTTCCTACCAAGGTCAATCACTGCCTGCAAGGTGCTGAGGAGTGATCTGCTTGCCAAACAAGGAATGGGGGCCTCCAAGATGCAGGGGAACAGGATGCACAAGTTGTGGGCAAAGGTTGCAGGGATTCCCCACGTGACGGTAGAAGTCAAAGGGGGGCCACTGCCAAACTCGAAAACCTCGTTGCGTTCCACCTGGAAGGCCTCCACCCGGTGGCGTGACAGCTTGGTGGCATGTGCTTGGGACCACTCCTTGCCTGCACACAACCGCTGACAAGCCGTGTCCAGAATGACATACCCTGCAGCTTGGGGGGCGCCTGTCAATCCGACCTGCATGTTGTGGTGCTGAACGGGGGGCAAGGAAATGGTGTAAACCTGATGTGAGGTGTGTTGGTCAGGCTGTTCATCTAACTCATCATGCCCTGGGCGAAGGCGAGTAAAATGGACCTTGGCCACTTTTCCTTCTTTGCCACCGTCCTTCCCACCGCCTTTGCCTTTGGCATGTCGCGGTGTGGAAGACGAAGCTCCTCCGCTGGCTCCACATTCAGGATCACCCTTCCAGTGTCCTGGCTGTCCGCAAGCTGCACAGTGAGACGATTTCTTGCGGTCGGCGATGCTTCGCTTGTTGCCGGGGCCAGTGTTGCGGAACTTGCGGGCCTGGGTCATGCCTGCCAACTTGCGTGCTGTAACCGTTAAGATCTGGCTGATCTCTTCCGGGTCGAAGTCCTGGTCGTCGTCCAGTTCCCCCTCCTGGTCGGCGTCCTCAGGATCTTCTTCTGGTCCATCTTCATAGATGATGTCCAGGCTGTCATCTGCATTGGGCTCATACTCCTGGTCGGTCTGCTGATAGTCCTGCTCGTCGTTGGTGTAGTCGGTGATCCACGCTTGCGACTTACCTTTGTTGCCGTCGCCCTTTCCAGCGCCTTTGTCCTTCCCCTTCCCGCGGCCCTTGAAAGGCTGTCGGTGATGAGGTGGAGCTCCATGATGCTGTCCAAAAAGGGGTGGTGCAGCCCGATGATCAGGATACTGAAACAACAAGGCATCCTTGACCGTATCGAACTCGAGGGACTGCATCGTGCCGATGAGCACTTGACGTTGCATCTCCACCGGGAGCTTGGTCCGTTCGAGCATGCGTGCTCCTCGAGCTTCCCCGTCGTACATCTTTTCCACCATGATGTTGACGCTAAGGAGTGCTCGCTCAGACCGCTGATAGCGGTTGATGAAGCTCCGCATTCCTTCTCCGTTGTGGCGGTACAGGTGCTCGTAGTCGGCCAAGAGCTTTCTCTTGAGGTGGACCGAGCGTGTCTCGATGGCGCGGCTGAGGGTGTTGAGGATGAACTCCACCCCCTTAGGGTTGTAAATCTGGCTGATGTCCGCGTCCTCCAGTTCTTCTTCCAGTTCTCCTTTGAGGGAGTTGTACAGCAAGATGCCCGTCTCCTTCAGCGGCACGTAGTTCGCGATTTGGATCATCCAAATCTCAACTCTCTTCTTCCATTTGGCGAAGGCACGGAGGTCACCCTTGTCGTACTGCCATGCCGGGGGATTTGGGGGAGTTCCTCCACGGAACCTCACGCCCTTGGTGGGCCCCTTCAAGCTATTCCAGCTTGACGAGGTAGACAGGCGTGAAGGCTTCTCATCCTCAGGATCTGGAAGTTGTTCATCCCATAGGTCTAGCTGTTCAGGTTCTCCAGGTGGGTCAGGTTTGGCAGAAGGCCGGGCAGCTTTAGGCTGTGGGCGATCTGGCCGTCGGCGACGGCGTCGAGGTGGTCGGTTCAGAGGCTGGTCAGGGTCCACGATTGGATCGATCGTAGGAGCCTCACTCTCGCCTCGTTCGCTCATTCCACCCTCGGAATTCGGATCAGGGGGTCCATGGCCGGCTCGAACTCCTGCAGCGGGCCGTTGACGGGCGCGTCGAGGCAGCTGGGGTTGAGCGACTGGCCGTGGTGGACCATGAGGATGTAGTGGTTGCTGCGCTCGGTGTCCTCGAGGATCAGGATGGGGAAACCCTTGAGGGGTAAAGCTCCATACTCCGCCAGATACCTCACGAACGTAGGGCTCCGTAGGCGAGTAGAACTCCGCATAGCCGCACACGTTACATGTACGGTTGCCTTCCCAATCGAACTGGTAATCCGAGGCATCACACGACACGCATCGGAGGTCATCATCCCTCGCAAGATCATGAAGGTCAGGTCCAGGTGCTGGTGCCCATGAAGGCGTCGGCGTCGCACCGAACATCCTCTGCTGCGTCGGGACGGTCTGGCTTTGACTGCATGGCGTGCCGGCTTCCTGGGGTGGAGCAAAGGGACTGCTCACATGTGACCAGGGCGGCATGCCTATACCAAGGCCAGAAGAACCCATGCCAGTGGGATCATGTCCATCAGCACCAGGGCGAGGTCCAGGATCGACCATGGCTCGGGCCCTCCAAGGAGGGCTCCGCTACCAACTTAGCGGACCGCGTGCACTCTTTGCGGCCAGCCACTGGTGCGGATCTGTGCGAGCATGCACAGAAAGAAATCTTGGGCCCAGCGCGCGCTGCGAGCGGGCCAGGCATGGAAAAGGTGCCACATGCGGATCTGCAATGAACCTGCAAGGGCCTTCAAAGCCTTCGTGCAAACATTCTCACGTGGAGCAATTCGCGACTTTCCCTGTTGGCAGGAAATTCGTAAGTGCCCCATGTCCTTCGCCATCTTGACAGTACATCTTTGCCCGAACCTCTGACCGCAAGAGCCCCGCCTGTCCAGCACTTCGGAGAATCGCCTGAGTTGAGGCAATCTGTGTCGGAGACCTGAAAATATTGTCGGTTTCACATACAAAAACGAGGTCCTCCTTTGTCAAAAAAAGAGAAAGCAGGTTTTTGGGTAGCAAGCTGCCTGCAAACAGCTTTCCAACTTCGGACACAGTTTGTCCACCAAATCGGAGCGATCGCTCACCCCCTCCCAAGCCTGCCTGCCCGTTCCGTCACAGAGCCGCGAGCCATACGTGTCCTGCCACGGAGGTTGAAGGACCCCCATGTTGGGCCCCCCCAGGTTGGGCCGCAGAAAGCCGCAAAGTCCCAAAAGGAGAGCCCCACCCACTCTTCACAACCTCAGAAAAGCCGTCGCCATCACCCTGGTCCAAGCCTCACAACTGTAACTTCTGATGGTGGCAATAGGCCGCATAAGTGGAGTACCCCGCCGCAATATGACGCAGCTTCCCTCTACTTGGTGGTTTGGACTGTACAAGAACTAGGGCTTCGAACTCCAAACCACCAATCCAAACCATCAATTAAGGGCAATCAAAGCCATCACTGTCCGTTTCAGAAACAAAGCAGCTGCAATTGCGCTTCTCGGCAAAGCAACCAAAATCCCCCCAACCCACTTCATGCAGAAGGAGTTGCGCATGCAACGCATGTTTGGCAATCGAACTTGGGCAAGCCATAATTTGGTTGGCGCATGTCGTCCTATCAGCCAGGCGTCCAGTTATGGGCTTGTGCTGTCAGGATCCCGGATAGAAATACCCTGAACGGACTGACAGAGTAAATGAAATGTTGGATTGTCATCACCTCACGACGGTATCAGCGGAAAACAAGGGATTGGAATTTTCGGGACTTTTGCATTAACATTTACAGCCAATACATGTGTTGAGCCCAGAAAATCAAGTGAAACAACCAACCAACCCCATCAAACCCACAACAGCAATCCAAACCAACCGCACCACCCCCAACCCAACCCACACCAACCCAACCCAAATCAACCCATCAAAGGCCGCTGACTGACCCACCTCGCACTGGGGCTTGTGGAGCCGGGCCTGGCGCCGGTCCGCTGCCGTCGACTGGGAATGAGGCGACTGCCCCTTTTTACGCTGTTTAGCTTTCTTGCCCCAATCCGCCAAACTGGCCGTGCATGCATGAAGCAGGCACGCGTGCGGGTGCATGCTTGCGGGATCTGCGTGCCCCCCGGCGTGCCTGCGGGCCTGTGGGCCCGCGTGTTTGATGTGTTTGCTTTTCTGCGTGCCTGAAAAGGCTGTTTTGAAACAGATTGCCACGAATCCAAGCCACGCCACTGATGCTGGAAGCATGGGGACAGAAGGGGCGAGCTCAACGCAATCCGAATTTGGCTGTCCGTCACACTCCGGTCTTTACGGGCTGAGTTTAAGGGGCAAAAAGTGAAATGAGGTGGCAAAACGGCCGTGGTAGGGACAAATGTCGGCAATCTTCATCAATGCCCAAATGATCTCCAGGGCAGCGAAGCAGTCACACTGAATAACACCCGTGCTTTCAGACTGCAAATGCCTGTCAAAAGTTTCTCGCCGAACCTGCAAACCAAACATCAACCGATCAACTGCCGAGCTGTGCCTGCGGCGCTCGCGGTGCCTGCAATTTCAAGCAAAAGGCAGGAGAAGCCTGTTCACCCCCTCCTGGGTCCATCTACGAGGCAAGTTACCCGAAAATTGTTTTGAATTTGCTCTGGTTTTGACACATCACATAACTAGGATCTTTCCACGACCATTACTGTCCCAAGAAAGAAATAAAGGATACAGTAGATACAGGCACGAAGCCTGCCCAGCGGTACTGCAATGTTTCAAAGTACCAATCAATGCTGCAATCCCTCAGCACTTTGAAACCCTTGACTCTTGACTCGTTCAATCTCGCAAGAAGAAGTATACCTAAGTTTGGCTACCAAAAGCTTAGTTGAGCCAGGCCCTTTCCTTGCTTCTTGATTTGTCCAATTTCGCTGGCCCAGACTCCGGGGCGAAGCACTCTGCTGTTGGATTTCCTCGGCTGGACCCACCCAGTTGGTTCAAGGGCCCATAGGCTCTTAGCTCACCCTCCCAAAGGGGCTTTCCCATGGAGAGCTGCTTTTTGGATCGGTTTGCACCCAACATGATTCTCTGAAGCACAGGTTCCTTGTCCAATTCCCGCTGACACGTGTGCCATAATCAAAGCATGCTATTCAAGTGATCTATCCAACATGTAAACACTCAAAAGGGCAGATATCTGTACTTGTTTATGGCCGGGACTCTCCATCTCCACAACCGTTTTTTTCATGCTGGCTCTTGTCGTCCACTTTTGCATCTTGCGCCCCGCCCCCCCCCCTCCCCACATGGTGGACTCGGAGATGCGCATCTTCCGCCAGCTGGAGCCTACAAGGCTCACGGTGATGTTGCCATGCCCGCTAAACCAAATTGTCAAACTGGATATGAAAAAGCCTGGGCATAGTGTGTTAAGCCAAGGGAACCCCACTTCTGCCGCTCCACACATGCCATCTTTTAATTGATCTATGGCCCCCTTGTTTCCATGTACAGGGTGAGTATCTTAGAATCGCAATCCTCGAAATGGGATTCTGGGGCTCCCTCTAAGCAATCCCGAAGCGGAGCTCCCAACTCAACAAAAAGCAGAAAGCTCAATGGGAGCCCTCTTTGCTCTGATGCCCAGTGGCCATGGGCCACAGTCACCCCAGGCAAGGCGTACCGACTGCTTCGACTGTTTCATCCTGGGTGCCAGACTCCGTTGCACACAGACCTGTGAGACAGCACATGGTCATGCACTCTCCACCTTTCAGCTCGTAGTTTTCCAGACTTCAAAAAAAAGAGTGATTCCTCTATGGCGCTGCTCGTGCGAAAGTCTCATTCCAAAAGATATGTGGTAGAATGAATCAATGTGCCTATCGCAGTTTTGCCGCTTCATTGTGCAACTGGGCATTGACGTACCAGCATACCAACAAACTGACATCGCAGGATGTGATAAAGGGAGATCCTGGACGTCGCAGCTCCCACCTAGGTCTCTAATGAATCAAAACAACAAACTGGTCTGCAGTCAGACCAACAAAACAGTCAAACAGTGCTGGAAAACGATCAAGAGCTTCTGCGCCAAACCAATTGCGACTTTGAGCATAATCGCCCATTGGCCTCCTCCTCATCATCATCTTTCGCCTTCAGGCATGCGGCAGGCGTGAGAGCAGTACACCTCCAGAAACACGAAACATCCTTCTCTGCTGCAATGCAATCTTCAAACGAGATGAAGCAAGGCATCTGCCTTTGGCAAGCTGCACACATGGTGTTGCTGCTTTCATTGTGGGTTCACTGACACATGTTGTAACAAGTTTGCAAGGAAATGGCGCTTGAGATTCTGTTCAAGCTGCTTTGAGATACCATGCACCTCCTGCGGTGCCTTCTGGTCAGCAAGCCAAGAAATAGAAACCAAACTCATCCAGATCTACAAATGCCAGGTTGCCTGCTCTACTGGCTGATCCTCGGGTGGCTGTATCGGCAGCTGCTTGGCATGCTGTTCAGGCGACGGAGGCGGCTCTTCAGCCGGCTGTTTGGCGGGCTGCTCAGGCGGCGGAGCTGGCTTCTTGGCCGCCTGCTCAGGCGGCGGAGTTGGCTGTCCAGCCGGCTGCTTGGCAGGCTGCTCAGGCGGCGGAGCTGGCTGTCCAAACAGCTGTTTGGCATGCTGCTCAAGCGGCGGAGCTGGCTCTTCAGCCGTCTGCTTGGCGGGCTGCTCACGCGGCGGAGCTGGCTGTTCAGCCGGCTTCTTGGCCGGCTGCGAAGGCGGCAGAGCTGGCTGTCCAGCTGGCTGCTTGGCATGCTGCTCAGGCGGAGCTGGCTGTGCAGCCGGCTGGTTGGCATGCTGCTCAGGTGGCGGAGCCGGCTGTTCAGCCGGCTGCTTGGTGGGCTGCTCAAATGGCGTAGCTGGCTGTTCAGCCGGCTGCTTGGCAGGCTGCTCAGGCGGAGCTGGCTGTTCAGCCGGCTTCTTGGCAGGCTGCTCAGGCGGGGGAGCTGGCTGTCCAGCCGGCTGCTTGGCATGCTGCTCAGGCGGCGAAGCTGGCTGTTCAGCCGGCTGCTTGGCAGGCTGCTCGTCTGGCTGATCATCTGGCTGCTGAGTCGGCTGCTGTGCAGCTGGTGGAGCCTGTGCAGCCGTCTGTGGAGGCGGCTGCTTGGCAGGCCGCTTGGGCGTCGGAGCTGGCTGTTCAGCCGGCTGCTTGGCAGGCTGCCCAGGCGGAGCTGGCTGTCCAGCCGACTGCTTGGCATGCTGCTCAGGCGGCGAAGCTGGCTGTTCAGCCAGCTGCTTGGCAGGCTGCTCGTCTGGCTGATCATCTGGCTGCCGAGTCGGCTGCTGTGCAGCTGGTGGGGCCTGTGCAGTTGCCTGCTTGGCAGGCCGCTGCGGAGCTGGCTGTGCAGCCGGCTGCTTGGCATGCTGCTCAGGCGGCGGAGCTGGCCGTTCAGCCGGCTGCTTGGCAGGCTGCTCGTCTGGCTGATCATCTGGCTGCCGAGTCGGCTGCTGTGCAGCTGGTGGGGCCTGTGCAGCTGCCTGCTTGGCAGGCCGCTGCGGAGCTGGCTGTCCAGCCGGCTGCTTGGCATGCTGCTCAGGCGGCGGAGCTGGCCGTTCAGCCGGCTGCTTGGCAGGCTGCTCGTCTGGCTGATCATCTGGCTGCCGAGTCGGCTGCTGTGCAGCTGGTGGAGCCTGTGCAGCCGCCTGCTTGTCAGGCCGCTTTGGCGGCGGAGCTGGCTGTTCAGCCGGCTGCTTGGTGGGCTGCTCGGGCGGCGGAGCTGGCTGTTCAGCTGGCTTCTTGGCAGGCTGCTCAAGCGGCGGAGCTGGCTGTTCCTGCTCAGGCGGCGGAGCGGGCTGTTCAGCCGGCTGCTTGGCAGCCGGCTGCTTGGCAGGCAGCTGCTTGGCAGGCTGTTCAGCCGGCTGCTTGCCAGGCTGCTCTTCTGGTTGATCTGCTGACGGCTGCTCCCGGGTCTTTCGGAGCCAGGGCAGTCGAGGCCTCCCACCTTCAAACACGGCAGCCAGGAAGCCACCGAAAAAAAGACACGCATGTGCTTTGTAGGATGAGGTCAAGCAACAGCTGGAAACGCTGATTGCAAACCAATCCGCCTGACACCTGTTATATAAACCCAAGCGCAAACAATGGGTCCTCACTCGGGCAGTGTGTTTCCTGACACCCGGCTCTCTATCTGTATCTATCTCGGTGTCTATCTCTGTATCTCTGTATCTCTCTATCTCTCTATCTCTCTGTCTCTCTATCTCTATATATCTCTCTATCTCTCTATGTCTCTATCTCTCTATCTCTCTGTCTCTCTCTCTCTCTCTCTCTCTCTCTCTCTCTCTCTCTCTCTCTCCTTCCCTCTCTCTCTCTCTCTCTGTGTCTGTCTGTCTGTCTGTCTGTCTGTCTGTCCGTCCGTCCGTCCGTCCGTCCGTCCGTCCGTCTGTCTGTGTCTCTCCTTGTCTCTCTGTATCTCTCTCTCTCTCTCTCTCTTTCTCTCTATTTCTGTCTCTGTCTATCTGTCTGTCTGTCTGTCCGTCTGTCTGTCTGTCTGTCTGTGTGTCTCTCTGTCTCTCTGTCTTCATCCGTTGACGCCGTGGCTTTGACTCTCAGGACTTGTGCACGTCTGTGCGTCCTACACAAGCAACACAAGCAAATGCAACCCCATTGTCGGTCTAGCTAAATAAATAAATACACATACACACCCAAGCATTCATTCACACTAAAGAGGATGGACATTGACATGGCCAACAAAAAGGAACAAAGAAAGATAAAAAGGGAGAGCGAACGCAAAACATATTCTCCCATTGCTGCAATAGAGATAAACTGCAAAATCTTGAAAATTTGGTCAATGTTGTCCAACTTCCTATTCAAGTCCTCAGAGACTCTCAATTGCGTGTCCACGTGTGTCTGTCGCTGTCTGCATGTGTCTCGTGTCACTCTGTGTGTCTCTGTGCAGTATTGTGTGTCTGAGTTTGTCTCTAGGTGTCGGTGTCTCTGTCTCTGTCCCTGTCTCTGACTGTCACTATTTCTGTCACTGTCTCTGTTACTCTCTGTGGCTCAGTCTCCGTCTTTGTCGCTGTCTCTGTCTGTCACTGTCTCTGTGTCTGGCTCTGTCTCTGCCCTGTGTCTCTGTCTCTGTCTCGATCTGGCTGTCTCTGTCGCTGCCTCTTCTGTCTCCCTACTGTCTGGCCGTGTGCATCTGGCTGTGTCTGCTGTGTGTGTGTGTCTGTCTGTGCGTGCGTGCTTGTGTGGCCATTCGTATAAATAGCGACCTTCCACAGCATTCGCGCTCTCTTGAATTAAAAGTCTACAATGAAAGCAGCCCCAGTTTCCAGACAAGCGGCCCCAGCGTTTGTAAGTCTGTGTGGAAGCGGAACTCTTTGGGATGAGAACCTTATTTGACACTTGGATTAGTGGAACCTTTTGAGCTTGGGAACAAGTTTAGACATCCAGCGGTATTCGTTTGCGCCGTGAGATCCCAGTTCCGGCCTTCAGATCGACTTCTGGAGATGGGCATGCCCTGCGGCGCAGAAGACCCAATTAGAAAGCCAAAGGCTGGTTTAAGATCGGCAGGACATGCGAATGAACCAGATACTTCCCCCCAACATGTCCTAGAAGTGTTCATATTATTCGGAAAGGTTGTGGCCTTCTTATGCCCTCTGCCAGACATGACGCGGCCGTTTTCTCCGGGCAAGGGATTTTGTTCATCCAGGCGGCTCCAAAAACCCCTCAAAAGCATCGGCTGCAATACAGCATGGGCTACGGGCGCCGAAAACCAAAGGACGACAACCAGTCTTCTCCCCGAGTGTTTGCGGGGCCGCATTAATTTGCTGCGCAAAGTACAAAAGTCCGGATGAGATTGTTCGTTGCGTTCTTGATATCTAAGCTTCTGCGGTCCTCTTGGCCAATCAACTGCGTTTCTTCAAAAACGCAAGAGTTGGAATCAGCAACCCGTGCCTTTCAACAACCCATCGGATAGATCGCGGCTCAAAAAGCACAAGGATCCCCGTCGCTTGTGCCTCTGTCACCTCCCCGGGGAGGTGGGCAGTGTCGTGCCCATTCTCCTGGAAGGAAGGCTGACAGACCGAAGCTAAGTGCGAGAACAAACTAGCCAAGCTGAACAAATACCGCATGAACCCAGACTCTGTTGATCTGGTTGCATGGCTAGAAAACACAAGATTGGCCTCACTCAACAAATCCAGAGCTGTGGCATCGTCCTCCCTATGCTTCTGTTTTTGAGCAACGTGCAAGCCACAATCGCTGAGCGCAGAAATCCTATTTGTAGATTCTGAGCAGAACCGGAGAATTGCTACGCCTTGCAGCACATGCATTCAAAATGTTCAATCCTTGAATCCTTAGCACGTACATCAGGGAGCAAAAAGGAGCGCGCACATGTAAGGGATGGTGGAGTTTTGGCCAGAAACGTCGACGAGTCATTTCGTTGAAGAGTCAATTCTGCATTCATCGCAAGAACTGTAGGCGGTGCCTTGCTGTGACGGCTCTTTCGGGGACAGGTCACTCGATGACGTTCATTTGTTGAAGGCGGGTGGGAAAATTGCGCTGAGCGAAACACGTAGACGGAGCTTTCAAGTGAAGATCCCTTGTCGTTGGATTGCCAAATGGCCTATCAGAAAGACCCGCATTGCGTCCCAACTCGAGAGCCACTGAAGTTTTCTTGGCAAAAACCAATCGATTTCAGCAACACAACGCCCACTCTCTCGCGGTGATGCCTGGGTCTGGCTCTTAAAGAGCCAAGGCCGTCGCGGGCCTCTTGTCGCCTGGCGCGCTGTCTCCTGGCGGCTCGCTGAGCCCCGAGTCAGGCAGGCGTCTTGGCTCTGCAATATCCAACGAATGAACTGTGGACCATTGAACTGTTTTTTGTTTGTTTGTTTTTGACCGAACCTCAACGGATCCCCCAATCCAATTCCGTCCTCTGGCGCATCTTCACCTCGAGAGAACCATCCCGAACGCATGCGGCCACAAATTCCTGCGGTCTTTCGATTCCCTATAAGACATGCAGAAATGGGACAGGGTTTCTTGAGGATACTGCGATACATCCGAAAAGCACCTGCTTTACGATCCTCGAAATCAGTCAGTAAAAGTGAACTTTTCACCCCACATTTCCCTTCAAGAACCAACTGCTACATGCGCCTGGCCTGGCTCTGGTGGCCCCTGTACGGTTTGCTGCTCCCCCAAAGCGAGATCCGCCTGGCTCCAGGCAGCGCGGATATAGCGAATGACCCGAAGACCAATTCACAACCAAACCAAAACGAGCGTCCTTTCACGGCTGTCCAATGCAGAAAAGGGACAGCCGTATGCAACAAGCAATGCGACAAACTTCTTATAGTGCAATTGGCAAACCAATGAGAAGCCTTCAGAAGGTGCCCAAACAGTGAAGAGTTGCCCCAGCACATAGTAAAACTATGTAAAACTCCAAGGCATCTGACTGGCCTTTCGGTTGCGCACTGGCCATTTTGGTGCTCTTGGTTTCTCCTGCGGCAAAGGGGGGGAGTGGTCTGACCTGTCGGAGTCGGAAAACGAACCGCGTGAAATCGAGGACCTGTGATTCTAGTGATCTACCATGTGCCAGTCCTGCTCGTGTCGTGCCAAGCCTTCATCCTTTGGGGGAACCAAAACCACGCGATGCAAGACTCGGATCGTTCCATGTAGGCCTTCCAAGCCGTTCCCATCATGCTGTGTCCTGGCTTGGCTCCGCCCTTTGGACAATCTTCTGGTTCTCCTGCAATGCGGAAGCAATGACAATTCTTTCAGAAACTAAATTTGCATCACCCCAGAAGGCGTCTCCACCCTGCTGAACAATTCACCTGGTGTGTGTGTGTGTGTGTGCTTGTGGAATTCTCGCATTCCCCGGATCAAAACAGGCTTCCCACTCTGCTCATACCCAAGAATGCCGTTCAACTGCCAAAGTGGCTCAACTGCAATATCCATGCCAAGTCTTTCAGAATCGCATCGTCAATGTCCCAGCTAAGGAAGCGGAAGAAGAACCTATCAGACCCAAATCTGTCAACAACTGAAATGTCCCAGAATACTGCAGAAAAGAAAACACACACACACAACATGTCCTTGGGAGAATCAGAGCTGTCGTCGTCTGCTGCCATGGAAACCTTGCACCACTCCGTGCTTCGCACGCATGGAGCAAAACAAGGAAAAAGTCATAACGTGGGCGACATGACGATATGTTTCTCCCTGGCTTTGGCAAAAATATGATCATCTTACCAAACGTTCTGGTCACATACACCTGAATGACGCAGCCAAGACAACCTCGCCGTGTCTGCAGCCTACCGATCAAGACGCCGCCGGTTTCTCTTGCGACGTGCAACAAACTGAGTGCTCGGGCCCGCCATTCCACGCCTTTGCACGGCGTTTTTTGAGCAGCTGCCTAAATGGGGTTGCAAAAGCCGAACTTGAAGCTTGAGCACCTGCTCTCCCGTCGCCCTGACAGTTCACCTGAGGAAATATGCTCTGGGTACCGCGTCGATGAAATTCAGCAGCATGCCGGAGGCTAGATTCTAGATGCGTTTTACATGAGTTGACTGGGCCTTGCCCGTGAGTTGTCTGGAATGGGCAAAACATGTGGTTGCTACACGTGCGGACAAAACATCAAGTCGCAAGTGCCTTCTTGGATAGAAAGAAAGAAAGGGAAAGACAAATGCAAAAAGTAGAAAGGAGAAGAACAAAGCAAACGGAGAAAGCAGAAATTGGAAAAACATTAAACAGAAGCGAGCACTATTTGGACTTTGGGCCTGTTCAGTTGAGCCTTTGGTGCCAAATGTTCATGTCAAGCTATTCAAGGCCTGGTTCAAACTGCATGGTTCAGTTCAGTGGCACATGTGCTTACAGGTGGCCCAAACACAAGGTAAAACGGGAAGGTTCTCAGTTCCAAAATGAAACACCCCGCCCTGCAGCCAAACCATGGAAACTCACCATGTTGGCTGGTGGGGAGAAATGAACATCAAACTTCACCTTTGGAATTGAACCTCAAGGCAAAACTGAGATCGGGAAGGTCGCAGGCCAACTCTTTTCCCCAAACAGTGTGGCAACAAAGGGGTTCTCGCGATAAGGGTAAAAAGCCGGTGTTACATCGAGGCCATCGCTCTGGACCGGAGCATTTTCCGTGCTATTTACGTACAATCGGACTTCATAACATATTGAAATGCATTTTGACTGCGCAGGCTCGCACAAAATGGTTGGGCGAGATCTGGGGCGCGCTTTTCGGCAAGTTTTAGCATTGAAGTCAACCCTCTGCGGACTTTGGGTGGGTGTTGTGCAAATGTTTGACATCGAAAGCGAACCGCGAACTTGGGGGGGGGGAATTGGCTCTCTGCGGACTTCGGGCGGATCGAGTCGCTCTGGTTGTGGGGCGGTGAATTTTCAATCGAAAGTGAACCCTCTGGGGGACTCTGGTGGCTCGCTTTCGCTGGGGCGCGGTGCAAATTACAAACATCAAAGTTCAGGACCTGCAAAAATACTAGATCTTGTAGACCCTGACAGAGAACTAAGCCAGGAGCCTGACCTACTTCTCTCCAGTCGTCATTCAGGCTTTTGCACATCGTTCGCAAAGTGGACGCCAAATACAACGGGTTAAATTAGGAAACACTTCCAGAAGACCATAGACATACGGCCAAAGTTCGAAAGAGGGATCGGTGGTGACACTATAGAATAGCGCGACGTTGGCGTGGAATTGTCAATAGGGGAAATAGAGCTCATGGAGTGCCTCGAGGACATCATCATGGGCGAGAGCATGGAGACCCTTGTTTGAGAAATCGAGGAGACGGCCGGCACGCACAAGAGGCAGCTGCTATCGGATGGCTCTGCGGCGATGGAAATCAACTATGGAGATTGGAATCGCTTAAAGACTCCAGCAATACCAAAGAGATGGACTCGCACGGCGACCTGGAGAACGTGTCAGCCATGATCAAGGTAACTTCCCTAAGTATAATCTCTAAGGTCGAGGAGCGTAACGATTTTTCTCATAAAGATCTTAATAACGGTTAACTTCAAGTCTTTCATCCTATACAAAGTGGAACTGGTGTGCCAAAGATCTCTCCTTCATGCCACGGATTAGAGCGATAAGGTCTAAACAACGAGAGAAAAGAAGAAGAATCCCAGTCAAAGAGTTAATATCAATAATTAAGAAAATAATCAGTACACCTCAAGGGAAAGATTACCTCAAGAAATGCCCTTCAACTGGAAATAACATTACATCTTAAATCACGACTTCTACCAGAAGTGGAAGGAGCACACAACTAGATCACCCCAATCAATGCCCAAGTAGGAAAACGCGGAAATGGACGAATCGTAAGCCGAGAGAACAGCTAGAGCCAAAAACAGAATCGAAAAAGAGATACAACGCCAAAAACGGCGGCTAAAAACAATAAAAAGTACCCATCACACCCATCCTATATTAAATCCCCACATAAAGAAGAATACAATTCCCACATAAAATAACAGAAGTTACAAAACATCGCACAAGCCTATAAAACAATATCGTGCCCAAAGTGCTATATACCACACCTCCGAAAATTAAAAATATTCCTCCCTGGACCAACAATTTCTAACACTCCTGAATAACTCATGCAGCAAAGCAAGCCCATAAAAATCACATTATATAATTACTACAATTATCCTAGAGCCTACATAAATGTTTCACCATATATAAATGTGTTCTCAAAACAATCCAAGAAATGTATTCACAAAACATTTCTATGTTTCTATGAAACAACTAAAACATATTAAAATGCTTCCTCATATATACATATAGAGATGTGTCTGTTCGATTATATATATACACACACGATCATCATAGTACGTATAACATGAACAATTTACATAGTTTAATAATAGATGGATACATATCATTTTGGGTACGAAAACATATATAAGATGCTTCATCACATTACATTATCTGTGAATGATCAAGTACATATAACCATATATGTATATCTCCCTATATCTACACCGGAATTCACTGTTTTAACAATAATAATTATTCGGAGCAATGTACATACAGCGGTCATGTTTCAGTTGGCGGGCGTAATGACAATCTTTGCGGGAGCGCACGCAGCGCTGAGCGGCACAGCGCGGAGCGCGAGGTAAGAGCGCCTATGGAAAAGTTTAGCAGCAAGTGCGCCTACAAAAAACATCAAAAGCACATGCTCCTGCGCAGGCGCCAAAGACATCAGCTAGCCGTTTCTGCTGGCCCTTTGTCGTCGTAGCGGCACGCGTTTCTAAATGAGAGCCCGCCATGTTTTTGGCTGCCCCAGCACTCAACCTTCTTCGTTGGGTTTAAGTCCTTTCGGCAAAGGCGGAAATCGCAATCATATCCTCCCACACAAGATCACGCAAGACTGCCCCATCCCCCACATACCTTTGCTTCCGCGCACGACTCCTCTGCACAGGCGCTCGGAACTCATTTGAACTTGTGCTTGCCTTTCCCTGCGAGCGGAAGCGGAAGAGTGCAATTTGTCAGACGCGCGTCCGCCAATATTCAAATTTGGTACCCGGGACGCGCAGAAAACCACCCGAAACCACCAGTTCTAGGGCATGCAGCAAGCATGATCTCAGAGCTGTTGAAGTCCCCCAACGCTTGACAGAAGGACCAGACTGGGTTTGCAGACCTTCCCCTTGCTCTCATGTAGCGGCGCAGATTCGGCTCCCTGCCAAATTGCTTTCGCAGCCAACCCCCAACAACTCAAAGGAATCTTGCCGAAACTCCATGGCAAAGGTTTGTGGGAAAAAGCTCAAGGTCCGAGATTCGCTTTCGTCGCGCAAGCTCATGGGATCCAAATCCCACCCTCTCCCAATTCTCGTCCCCGCTTGAGCTGAAAGGGTTGGCAAGAGCCATGTCCTTTAGCCTCAAGCTCCAAGCGCGGCCCCGCGCCTTTGCCCTTCTTCCCTTTGCCTTTGTTCCAGTCCTGCCAAAGCCAAGACCTCAGCCAGTCAGCCAAAGCAAATCCGCCTGTGAGCCCGCGACTCCGGGCAGCTTGGCACGTCTTGTGGGAGGGCATTCGCTTGGGGGGCCAAAAGGAAATCAATGAAATCACCCATCAACGGGCCACAGCCTAACCGGCCATTTGTAGGTTGCGGCCCTGTTTTTCAAGTAGTTGACCGAAAGAACGTGCGAACCTAGGGGGTTCAAGTTTCCTGGCGACACCTCTCGCGACTTCAATGCAATTCGGTCCTTGCCCCAGTCCTTGCCCCACTTTCCTTTGCCTTTGCCTTTGCTCCTTGGCAGCCGGCTTGGAGACCCCCACTTCAGGAAAACAAGAAAGCAAGAAAGAATGAAAGAATGAAATATGAAAGAGGAAATACAAAAAAAGAAAGAAAGCGAGAAAGCGAGAAAGGAAGAAAGGGAGAAACAGAAAAGGGAAAGAGAAACAGAATCAGAAAAGAGAATGTTAAACCGAAAGATCGAGAAGAGACAGAGCAAAAGGAGAACGAGAGAGAGGAAAGGGTTTTTGCAGGGAGATTCCTCCAAAAACTGGTAGGCTTTGCGACACCGTGCAGGTCAAGCCGTGTCCGGGAAAAACATCGTCGCCCAGAAAACTAGAAAGCTGGGATAGTCCATGACAATGTAGCTTTGATAGAGGATACAGATCACAGAAGAGACGTCGCTCCCCTTTTTTGGCCGGGCACACCACGAAAAAGGAGAGGCTGGGAACAACGGAAGAATGCAGGGAAAGGCGTGTTGGAAAACAATGGACAGAAGAATGGGGTAGAAACAGAAAAGCATTCAACAGGCAGCTGCAGAGATGTCTTCCGGCATCTCAATCAGCGTCAGCAAAACATTAAGCGCCACGCAAACTGCGCGCCCGAAAATGAATTCACACCTCGTGGATGCCTCATGCTGTGCGGAGATTGTACGCAACTTATTTTGCGATAAATCGCGCCATTGCTCTTGCGAATTACTTTCCTGCCAATCTCAGCGCACGGCATCTCTCCCTTCCCGCGAAACTGACAAGGCAATTTGATTGGTGTTGTGGGGCGCTGGATGAACTCCTGAATCTGCTGTCGCCAGTCCCTGCAATGGCAAGATTGGTCGTTTTTAATGGTCGTCATACGGTTGTTTCCAACAAACGCTTTTGACGGCTACGCTCCTACAGGTCAATCAGTTTCGCTCCTTGCCTATATGTTTGGCGCGGCCAGCCTTGTCAAATTCTGCAGGCTCAGCGTGCAAGCCCACAGATGAGCCACGTCAACCAGAAGCCACGTCATTTCGCTCTGTTGCGGCAGACACGTGACCAGGCGGGTTTTGGCTGTCTTCGAGCGATTTGGCTCGGAATTGCTTTAGTTCGGGTGGCACTAGGGTTGGTTTCAAGTCCGATGAAGGTGGGTTCAAGGCGGATCATGGCGGTTTTTGAGGCTAGGCAAAGGTTTCAGCGCAAGGCTGGCTTTAGCTAAGGCTCGGGGTTGGCTAGCAGGTGAGTTGGGGATTAAACGAAGTGTAAGGCGGTTTTTTGGCTGGGCTTAGGGCAAGACAAAGGTTATGTTGGCGGCTTCGGGCGTCACTCGGCGAACTTGGGTTTGAGTCGTTTCAGGCTGGTCTTGGGGTGGCTTGATGGTTGGCAAGCGCGGTGGCAAACGCCTGTTGCGCACGCACACGCGAGCACAATCCCTATATGAAGCTTACATGTCCTTCCTTTCCCGTTCTTGTTTGAGCAAGTTTTCGGCGGCCACGTTTTTTTCTTGATCACCCCCGGCTAAGCTGTCCCGGAAGTGTCTGTCGATGCCTAAAAGGTTTGCGTGATTGTCATCAAGGTTGCGCTTGATGAATTGAGCAAATCACTCGTAATGAGCCAGTGCGCAGAACCAGGTGGGCGTCCAGCAAAAATGCACACCCTGTCCATCACCGCCCTCCTTCCGGGATCCCCGGCTTGGCGTCCGCCTTCTGCCAAAGCCTCTCCCAGAACCTCCTCTCCTCGTTTGAGGCATGACTTCCCTTTTCGCGTGGGACTAGATAGACGTGCATGTGTGTGTGTGTGTGCATAAATATTAAACGCACGTGCATCACATATTCGTATAGATATTTATAGAAGATCTGCATATACGGTCATATACGTATATCCTTGTAGCTGCAATCTGTACACGTGTTTGTGTACACATGTGTATACTTGACATGTGTAGACGTGTGTATGCGAATATCTGTATGCAATATGCATACTGTATGCGAGCGCGCGCGCCTTTGAGCGCCACATTGAGGCCCATTCTCACTATGCGCCTTTAAACATCCTCTTCGGCAAGGAAGTTCAGCAACCGATCAATGGAGTAATCTCACCCACGCTCGCGCTCTCAAGGAATAATTGCATAGCGACAGCATCGATGCAATCCTGGACGAGCTGGGGCAACCAGACCAATGGAAATCTCGGCTAAGCCCCCGCTTGCTGCCTGTAGGACAGTTTGGAGGCTGAGAAACTCCCAGAAGGGAGCGGTCTGGAAAACTGATCAGTTACAGTAGTCCACTTTCGCTTGGACTCTCGCAAAATAACTGGCCAAGGACAAGTCTTGCGCAAGCAAAGCCGACTCGAGGCGGGCGCGAAACACATTGAACAAAGTGTTCTCACTCGCGCCATGAACATAGAAACAGTACAGCGGACAAGTGGACTCCAGGCAGCTCACCGCGCCGTTTCAAACACCGGCATGCCCCGCCTCATCGCCGTCGATTACGCGGCAGACCATGGTCTTGCCATCAAACTCCTGATCCGCGGACGTCGCTCCAGTCGCTGGCCCGATCACGGATACGCAACAGAGCAGTCAAGCTCCTAGAACTGTGCGCAACAACGTGCGCAATGTGCGTCTGGAGAAGGGCAGTATCAACTAGTGGCCAGGTCTATGAAGCCTCCAAGGTTTGCCCTGGAGAAAAGAGGCCTGCCCTGACCTCCCTCAAAATCCTGGTTTTTGATAAGAACAACACTTCCCTAAGCAGCGCTCTCGAGGCTACTGCTTGCCCCTACCCCCAAGAACCCAACCAATTGGACTCGATGCGCTGCTTCAAGGAATGGCCCTGTCACGTGGCAAACCTGATCTCTTACACACACCAACTATCTTGGAATGTATCGATGTCTTGGGGAAGTCGCCGCTTTCATTTTGCAATTGGACGGTTGTGCTTGGGCCACGCAATCATTTTTATTCCTTGACCAGCAAACATGTCCTGCGCTTTGCTGTTGCGTCTGGGTGAGAGGCTGAGGCTGGCGCCAACTTGGTAGTTCAACCCTGCGAAGCCATGGTGCAAGAAAGGGGCACCCACGCGTGGCTCGAGTGGCTGACCCCCCCCCCCCCGCTGCGCCGTGGATCTTCCCGCTCCCCTTGTTCAGGAAGAACTCGGAAAAACATATATGCAAGGAGCATCCCCAACAGCATTGAGCAAAATTCCCTCCCCACTCTTCTGAAACTCGCCAAAGCCAGCGCCCCATCGTGGGCCTTGAAGCCCTGCGCTGCGGCTGCGGCGCCGGCAGCGTCTGCAAACCGAGCCCTGCGGACGGGATGCGATAGGGGCACCCACCGTCAGCCATTATACCTGGCTCCCAAAGTCAGTTACGTGAGAGGCTGAAAGAGGGGGCGCCTTGTTTTGGGATGTTCGTGAGCAGAACACTGCATCCCAACTAGGCTCAAGGTTTTTGGGTGTTGCGAAAAGGATACCCCGGTAAGGTTGGACTGGGAGGGGGGGGGGGCTAACCAAATGTGGACGGTTTGCCCCAGCAAAAATCTGGCTGATTCCAGCCAAGGCGCTCGCTTTCTTGAGGGGGCCCCCCAAACACGTGTGTTTTCGGTAGAAGTCTTGCCAAACCAGTACTCGTGCTGCTGATTGGCGCCAATGAAACTCAGCAATGCGCTTTCGCGTTTCCCTTCCGGATCTGCCTGGCACACATCACCTCATCCTCCTGGCAAAAGGCTTCCCAGACAGGGCCCAAGAAACACTTGCCAACGTCTGAAAGAGCTGCCGAGGGACCCTGTTTGTCCACTGAGGGGGGCGGGGGGAGGAGACCCTATGACCGTGCCCAACACCGGGAGTTTGGCTTTGGACCTCAAATGCCCGCCCTTTGCTTGCAAATTGGTTGGACCCTTGGCCCGCAGCATGTTCTTGGGAGGCTTTGTCCTGTCCGCCAACCATTTGTGTGGGGGCTGCGATGTAAAACAACTGGACCCCGCGCAGCTGCCACGATCCTCAAAGCAAAACTGTGCGCAGCACAGCTGGTCAAAACTATCTGTGGGCACTAGCTACGCGAGCGAAGCTCTGCCAGCGCATTACTGCAAACCACGCACGGCGCTCTAGGGCCAAGACAGCAGAGCGAAGCTGCGTCGGCTGGGTTGCAGATTTGCGCGGCAACGCTTTGACACGAGTGATCCCTGCAGAGGGTTCGTCAGCCGATTCGTGGCCCAACAGTAAGAATTATTCTGGCGTCGTCGGCCACATAGAAGCTCGCACGGCGCCGCGCGCAGCTTTCTCGAGAAGCACTTTACGCGAAAAAGAAGAAGCATGGCCGTGCGGGCAAGGCGGTGCTGAGCAGGGTGCGTAGCAGAACTGCGTAAAGCAGAGCGGCGCAGAGCAAGGCTGCACAAAAACAGAACTGCTGAGACAAGCTGCGTAGTGAGGCGGAATAAGACCGGTGTTCACGCTCTTTCCCACCCTCAAATGTGCTGATTGCAAGTGGCGGTCTTCTTAGAAGTTGTGTGCTCTGTTGGGGCCTCAAAATTGGAAACTCACAAGTGGCCACTGTGCAAGCATGCGCGCCTGAGAGCTCATAAGCATGCAGCATGGGCAAGACAGCGAACAAGAAAGCAGAAGAAAACAGGCAGGGAGGGAAGCAGGGAAGGAAACAGCAAGGAAGAAAAGGAAAGCTAGCAGGAGCAAAAGAAGCACAGCAGCTGGCAGCGTAGCAGCAGGTAGGGCTGAAAAAACACGCTGCAAAACACTATGGCGAAATAACATGGCGGGTAACCAGTGATGAAACCACCTCGGCCTTTCGTTTCCGTTTGCGAAACACTTGCGCGGAACTTGCGCGAAATCTTGCGAGTAAAAACGGCAAAAATCGCGCACGTCTTTTGGAGCAAGCAACAACAACCCCCCACGTGCTTCAAAGGCACTGATGCTTCGAACCACCAGTCTGTTTGGGACGCAAACGCGACTTGAGCGAATTTTGTGAACACTGCAGTTTGGCTTGCGCGGCCGCATGTTTGTTCAAACTTGACACGCCCCGTTGGGCAACATAACTTTTGGGAACACAGAACTAGCTGGAGAGGGATTTGGCTGGAACGTTCAAAGCGGCCGCTTCCCCGGTAAATCCCGAATCCCTTGCCAAGGCCTCCTCCGGCTCAGCAGCCTGGCGAGGCAGCAAAGAAAAGGGTGGAAGCCTTGTACCTGCGGATTTACGCCAGTCCATCCCACACAGCTACGCGCATGCCAAGCTGGTGAGAGCGCTAAAAGATAAAGCGCCGTCTTGAATTTGCGGGGTCAAAAAGGGACGCAGGTCAGGCTGATTCAGCGGCCTTCGATAAGCCGATAAGCGCTGCAAGCGCGCAAACATTACCAGCGTGCCCGCTGTGTCCGCAGTGTCGGACAAGAAGGAACGTAAGCGCCTCCAACAGCGAGCCGGCTCTGGACAAGCATGAGCTCATCGTCAGGTCAAACTGTTTATGGCCCCAAAGGGCCACTCGCCCTCCATAGAGCTTGGCAGATCAATCCAGATATTGGGCTTGAAGAACTCAGAAAAAAAGGAAGAAGCCACCTCCCAAACGCACATGAGCCCAAGAAGTCTCCTTCGCCTTGTGCATTCTGCATGCTTCACTGCGCTTCCCGTGTTTCATTAAAAGTTGCCCCCCAGGCCGCAATGTCACAAGAATAGACATTGAAACTTTAAGTCTTGCGCAAGTGGGACAGAGTCGCGGCGGGCCCTGCGCAACCGTGTCCCACATAAGACAAAGTTGGGAAATGTTTGACGCCCCACACCTACGAAAGACCCCGTCTGACACGGCACGAGGCGGACTTGGGGAACCTGTCCGCAGATTAAAGGGCATGAGCGGGCAAAGCCTTGCGCGATGGCCTTCGAAGGCTCTTCTCAGATGGCTCGCCCTTGACGCGCCCAGAGCTCGACCAAGTGGAGCAAGGGAAGAGCTACAAGCCAACCAACCAACCAACCAAACAACCAAACAAACAAACAAACAAACAAACAAATACCCAAACAGCCACACAAACAAACAAACAACAAACAAACAAACAAAGAAACAAGCAAAGACCAAGCAAGCAGCAGGCAACCACTCCCAAGCAACAAAGCAAACGAACAAGCGACCAACTCCCCCCCCCCCCCACCAACCAACCCACCAACCAACCAACAAACCAGCCCACCCGCCAACCCACAAACAGGACGGGCAACCACACACACACACACACCCCCACGCATGCACGCACGCACGCACGCACGCACGCACGCACGCACGCACGCACGCACGCACGCACGCACGCACGCACGCACGCACGCACCCACACACACACACACAAAAACACAAACACAAACACAAACACAAACACAAACAAGCAAGCAAGCTAGCAAGCGAACGAATCATCCAACAACCCAACGGGCAACCAAGCAAGCGGCAAACAAGCAAACAAAGAAACACAACGGACAAACACGCAAACAGGCAAACGACCAATCAAACAAACACACACACAGACAAACAAACGAACAAGCCAACAAGAAAAACACAAAAAGGAGAGCGAGCAAGCAAGCAAGCCAGCCGGCCAGCCGGCCAAGAAGCAAACAAGCAAGCAAGCAATCAAGCAACCAAAAGAGCAAGCCGGAGAGCAAGCAAGCAAGCAAGCAAGCAAGCAAGCAAGCAAGCAGGCAAGCAGGCAGGCAGGCAGGCAAGCAGGCAAGCAGGCAAGCGGGAAAGCAGGCAAGCAGGCAAGCAGGCAAGCAGGAAAGCAGGCAGGCAGGCAGGAAAGCAGGCAGGCAGGTAGGCAAGCAGGCAAGC